CTTCATTGCGGCAACGGGTGCGCCGGCATCTTCTGGGAAGACTTCAGTGGTCACTGTTGTCGGGTCGAATCGATATATGATGCAGCTCACAATATGCATGACAATCCCAGAAGCTAGGGCTCGGAGAAAGTTGCTGTCGCTGGGTCGCTGACGTTTATGTAGTCGCATGCAGGTAAGTAAGACTAGCCATTTGTAAGCTGTCCTCTAAGCCTCTTAAAGATGCATTACGAAAGGATCCCCGAATCCTTCCCTTCTATCACTTACCCCACAGGAAGCAACTTTCATCGAGGCTAAGAGCCTTGTGCATCTCGCCGCTTGTCCGTTTTGGGCGGTTTGCTGACTTCGGACTTCATTTTTACCCGTCACCTCTCGCGACAAACGCCACGGTTGGGCGCCAGCAAATCCTCAGTATGCGCAAGTCACTGAGCATTATGAATCAACAGAATAGGCGTTTCAATTGCTATAAGGTCAGAGCGATGGTGCTCTCGCTTGGATATAAAATGTTTGTGTTCGACCTCACATTGTTGAGCAGAAATCACTACACAGCTTCATCCAAAACATTACTTTTCTGCTACTTCAATAGCTTCGTACCACACAAACCATATATAAGAAACAGTCAAGATGACCACCTATCTCATCACTCAAGCAACTGGCCAGCAGAGCCGCTCGGTCATCTCCCATCTTCTCCAAGCGGGTGCCAAGATCCACGCGGTGGTTCGCGACCTCCAGAAAGTCCAACCCAGCCTTCAACATCCCAGCATCACCCTCTTCCAAGGAGAAAGCAAGAACTTGGAAGATATTCTTCAAGCAGCCCAAGGCTGTAGGGGAGCTTTCCTCAATACGTTCCCATACCCAGGTCTGGAGGCCTTGCAGGCCAAGACCATCGTCGAAGCCTGCCAGAAAGCCGGCATCGAAACTGTTGTCGCAGCTACGACCCACGGCACGGGGGACAAGGCCTTCTGGGATGACGATATCATCAAGGAAATCCAGCTACACCAGTACTTCTCCTCCAAGGCTGAAGTCGAGGAAATCGTCCGGACCGGGGGGTTCAAATCGTACACCATTCTCCGCCCCGCTGTCCTCCATTTCGACTTCTTCGTGCCGGGTGCTTACGGCAACTACCCTCGGCTCCCTACTCATGGAGAAATCGACGACATTCTTCTCAACGGTGCTCGCGTGCCTTACACGGACGCCAACGACGTTGGCAAGTATGCCGCAGCAGCCCTGCAGAACCCTACAAAGTTCAATGGCCAAGAGATCAACATGGGGAATGAACTTTACACCATGGAGGAAGTGCGCGACATTCTCGTCAAGGTGAGCGGCAGAAAGGTGGGAGTAACCAAGCGAACTCCCGAGGAGCTGGAAAAACTGGGCATCAGCGTGTTTGGCCAAAAGTTCCATCTCATGTCCAATGTGAAGGATCTCAGCTGGACTACCCAGTCTTCAAAGGATGTCGGGGAGAAGTTTGGCATGCCTCTGGGGTCTATTGAGGAGGCGTTGCAGAGAGATAAGGCTCAGCTTCTGGAGTGCTTGCCTGAAAATTAGCCTCATGGAAAGACGCAATACGAATTTTGTAGTTTTGGGAGTAGTAGCAGTATTTTAGGTCATTGAGCGTGTTTGAGAACTGGTAATACGTTTTCGCATTTCGAATGAAAAGTACGCAAGACTTTATAGCTTGTGTCTATGATGCGAGATGCTATGATTGTACATAACCCTTCTTCTTCCGTAACCGTTTTTTCTTTTTCTTTTTGTCATTCTCCAAAGAACAGCGGTATCTCATCTTATGCGTCAAAATGCCCTTCCTTCTCATTCTCTGCATCATCACGATCTGAATGACTGGTGTAGCAGGGTCCGGAACCGGCGCTGCCCCGCAGAGACGGGGCAGTGGATAAATCAAGTGATTTATTTTGAATTTAACCGTAAACTCAGAAAGCCCTTCATGACTAGCAGCAATTAGACATTTGATGAAAAATCACTACAGTGCCCATTCTTGAAGCAAAAAGATACGTAGGAGATAAGCGATTCGATTGTGTTCTCCTCAAACGTGATTACTAGCTACTGCTATGTACAACAAAGATCTTGGAGCTTTAGTCAGGCAAGCGAAGAACAACGACATCATACAGACTGCAACGGGCCTGCCAAGGAGAGGGGACACAAAAACATTCTTCGATAATCTAACGATGCCGGCGTACTAACCAATCCAAGTATCGTCTGCCGGCACTTCCCCATCATGTCTGTCGTTGTATGCGGGGAAAGTGGATATAAACAACTTCCAAGGTTGTAGATCACCACCCCAGAATCCAACGCTTCGGGTCAATGCTACCCGCCAAAATGTAATAAGAAGCGGCTACCCGCATCAGCCGGTGGGATGTTGGTTCTTGATGCTCTCTGTACAGCGTGAATGAAACGATCATGGGAGTGCTTTACAAGTTTGCCATTGGCTTCAGTGGCGCCGCGGCCAGCCTTTCCGGACTCGTGCAAGCAAACGACTACACGCCTCACGTCGACCCATTTCTTGGCACCGAGGGCCCCGAGCCTGGGTCATCTTATCAAGGCGGGAACACGTTCCCCGGCGTAACACTTCCGTTCGGAGCCGTGAAAATCGGCATCGACACCACGAGATGGGATACCAGGTATCAAGCCAACGCGGGTTACACCGTTGAAGGAAATGTCACAGCAATTTCCATGTTGCACGTCAGCGGCACGGGAGGCGCTCCGACTTATGGGCTGATCCCACAAATGCCTCTCACGACCTTGGAAGGGGTCAATCTACTCGACAACTTGACTTACATGCAGCCAAGAGCTGGGCACGATGTCGCCGAGGTCGGATACTACAAGACGTCTCTAGAAAGTGGCGTCACAGCTGAGATGAGCGCCAGCATGCACGTTGGTATCATCAAGTATGAGTTCCCTAGCGACGGTGGCCGCCACATCTTGGTAGATTTGAGCCACTACCTGCCAACTCGTGGCAAGGAGTCTCAATGGTACAGCAACGGTCTTTTGGAACACAGCGACGATGGTTCTTCGTACACTGGCTATGGCGTGTACAGGGAAGGCTGGTCTCTTGGTAAGTTATTATGCAATATGTCTTGGAAATGAAAGCTAACGTTGACTCGGAAAGGCGGCGACTTCAAGGTTTACTTCTGTGGACAATTTGATAACGTGCCCGAAGAAGTTGGACTCTTCTCTGGCATCTACACGGACCCGTACTGGCCCAATACCACAGATGTCAAGCCATTCTACAATAATGACACGTCAATTAAAGGCGGCGTAGATGGATACCAGTACGCCGACCGAGTTGGAGGCATCTTTACGTTCCCATCTAGTGTCGCTACCCTGACTTCCAAAGTGGGAGTCTCGTGGATCTCGTCAGAGAAAGCTTGTCAATTCATCAAAGACGAAATTCCCCACAACGACCTCAATCAGACGGTCAGCGAGGCAAAGACTCAATGGAACAACGAAGTCCTTTCTAAGGTTGATGTCAAAACCGAGAACCAGACGCAGTTGGAGATGCTATACACTGGGCTTTACCATGCGCACCTGATGCCTTCTGACCGAACTGGCGAAAACCCTCACTGGGCGACTGAAGAGCCGTATTACGACGACTTTTACACGCTTTGGGACACCTTCCGCTGCACTCACGCACTCATCTCGTTGATCTTACCCAGCCGTCAGGTTGATATGAGTAAGTATCCGGAGTCCCGATGGTTGTGACAGATACTTACAAGACCAGTCCGAGCCATGATCGACATTTGGCGACATGAGCGATTCCTGCCAGAGGGTCGCAGCCACAACCACAATGGCCGAGTTCAGGGTGGTTCCAACTCCGACAACGTTCTCGCAGATGCCTATGTCAAGAAACTTGACACTAATGGGCTCATCAACTGGGCGGATGGGTATGCCGCTGTGCGGACCAATGCGGAGGTACAGCCATACAACAACTTTGACTTCAATGACCCAACAGGGAGCACCAAGGAGGGAAGGGGTGCATTGGATGACTGGAAGAAGTATGGTTACGTATCTGTCAACTATGGCAGAAGCGTGAGCAAGACCGTCGAGTACTCTCTCAACGACTTTGCCGTATCGCAAATCGCCAAGGGCGAGGCACCCGAGGAGGCGGCAACCTATCTGAACCGCTCCACGTAAGTTCTCTTCTCCTTCACCTATGTCATGAGGACCATCACTCACGGTATCAGTGGCTGGCAAAAGATCTGGCTCAAGGATGCTAAGGCACTCAACTTCACCGGCTTCCTCGCTCCCCTCGAACCCAACGGCACAGTTCTCCCAGGCTACAGTCCACTCGAATGCGGAGAGTGCAACTGGGAGGCCATATCTTATGAGGGCACGCCATGGGAGTACAGCTTCACCGCTCCGCACGATATGTCCACCCTGATAACCTTGATGGGGGGACCCGCCAGCTTTGAACATCGACTCGACACGAGCTTCATACCCGGGTTGGCCGAGCAGGACCAAGGAAATAACGGAATCGGAGATATGATTTACAACCCCGGAAACGAGCCCAGCTTCATGACGCCGTTCTTGTACAACTACGTTGGACGCCGGCAATGGAAGAGCGTGATGAGGAGCAAGCATATTGTCGACGACTATTACCATGTCGGTGCGAGCGGCATCCCCGGCAATGATGATGCGGGAAGTATGAGCAGCTGGCTCGTGTGGAACATGCTCGGCTTGTACCCGGTTGTCACGCAGCCCGTCTACCTCGTTCTTTCGCCACGATTTGAGGAAATTAGTATCCGTCTAGGCTCGGATGGCGGACTCTTACGGATTACCGCAACTGGTCTTGAGCAAGGCCCGTATGTTCAGAGTCTGAAGGTTAACGGAAAGGAGTGGGATAAGAGTTGGGTTACTCACGAAGACCTGCTCGGGGAGAACAAGGAGGGAGGTCTGCTTGAGTTTGTGTTGGGCGCGGAGCCCGCGGAGTGGGACTCGGGCGAGTTGCCGCCCAGCCCGGGTGCTCTTTGAGAGCTTGGTTTCCAGTTCAGGTACACAGATATGCAGATATGGTATGATATGTACTTAATCTTGTACTAATCTCGCCGAATTTACACCATAAGTAGACATCATAGTGCAGAGTGTCATCTAATCACCTTAACTTTATTTTGATAAACTCACAGTGTAGCTGTCAACTTTGTAATGAGGTATGTTCTGCTATAATATCTCATTCTTGCTTCGGAATCACACCGCGGATCTGAAAGGAGATGTGTAGGTATGCGTTATTTCGTCTTCATGAGTCAACTTATTGTGGAACTGCACGTCCAAGCGGATTTAAGGATAGAATTAATGTGATCTAATCAGGTTCCCTGGGCCGCATATGCAGCTGTAGTGTCCTCAAGGGGCAAGTCACAGTGGCGAATGGGACCTTCGAAACACAACGTCTTGTTTTCAATCTCCGCGCATTCGCTTTCGCAATGACTCGCAGGGATTCTCGTAAATGGCCTGTCACCTCAAAGTTGATCTGAGATTCGGGAGGGGCAGTCTCCATCTGCAGGGTTTAGAGACACAATAACTTCGATGAACTGGGCCGATCATCACTAGTAGGTAAGTAGAGAAAAATTGCATTACATGTAGACACCTTGCCAATGTTTGGTTCTAGCGTCATAGGTGTGTTAGGTTCTGTCTTTGCAAGAAGAAGCCCGCGAGTTGCAGTTCGATTGCAAATGCTGCTTGTCGTTGAGACGTGTCATTGAGCTGTCTGAGCATTGTCTCTTTCTTGAAAAGTCTTCATTGTTTAGGACTGATGGTATGAACTAAAATATAAAAATACTATTCGTGGCTAATAAGAAATACGCCTAAAATGCCCAAGAGCTATGTAACTTGTAGTCTATGTGTAGAACTTATGTGTGAGTGTCGTGTCGAGTATGGGAAGATAGAGAGCCACGGAACCGCATGATTCCTGGTTTACGTTCCGTCAAATGTCTAAGGGATGGGTTCAACGCCTGACCGGCTTCAGGTAGGCGTTCAAAGGTCCCTTCTCCCAAAGCAGGTAGATCTTCTGTCTGCCAGCCCAGTCACGGCTGTCATCGGCAATCTTGATGTCGAAGTTCCACAACATGCGAGCGAGAATGAGGCGCATCTCAACGTACGCCAAGCTGAGTGGGCAATCCATGTCAGCAATCACTTATCGAATGATTTCCAAATTCAAACTCTGTAAGAGATCCTGGAATTACGTACTTTCTTCCAATACAGTTGCGGGGTCCGACGTGGAACGGCTGGAAGGCCTCCTTGTCGTCGCTGGCGAATACGGGATCTTGCATCCATCTCTCGGGGTGGAAGCCGAAGGGGTCGCGGAAGTTCTTCTCAGAGTGGTACATAGCCCACTGGTAGACAGAAACAGTTGTCTGCAAAGCTCAGTTGTCAATTTCAGTCCAGTTACTTTGGGACTTAAGGAGTTGTACGTACGTCTTCGGGAACATAGTGATCCGCGATAGTCGCGCCTCCCTTAGGGACAATGCGGGGCAGTCCGATGGGAACTGGAGGGTAAAGGCGGAGCGCCTCTTCGAGACATGCGAGGAGGTAGGGCAGGTTGCTGACGGAAGTGAAGTCGATTTCGCTCTCTTCCTTGAATGTGGAACGGATCTCGTCGGTCAACTTCTTGTGCGCGTCGGGGTTCGTGAGCAGGTAGTATGTTACGCCGGAAAGCAGTGTCGCCGTGGTCTCAGATCCGCCAATGATGAGAATGCTGCTGTTGGCCTTAAGCTTCTCAAAAGTCATGTTCTGTCAAATGATGTTAGTCTTTTGCTTCCCTCGAAAGGATTGAAACATCGTACCCAGTCCTCCTTCTTCTTCAAGAGGCCCTCGATGAGATCAGGACGCGAACCTAAATCCATGCGACGTCTGAGCTTCGCCTCGGTAAACTCTTCGTGGTGCGCTCTTTCGCGCTTGGCCTTCTCGGGAACCATGGACATTATGAGTTTCATAACAAAAGGGTAGTGCTTTCCAGTCTGCAAAACAGTGCCCAATCGCGCCATCTGGAAAATCGCCGCAACCCAGGGGTGGTAATCTGAGCCGTCGAGACAGCCGAAAGATTCACCAAAAGCCAGGTCACCGATAACGTCGAAAGTAGTGTAGTTGTACCAGGCGGCCAAGTCGAGGGGCTTAGCGCCGTCATCTCCGTGTTGATGGAGTCTCTGGATGAGGAGGTCGACATATCCCTTGATCATGGGCTGCTGGTCGCGCATGCTCCTCTCACTGAAGCCGTGGGCCAGGGACCTGCGCAGAACAGTGTGCTCCTCGCGATCAGAGCTGACGATATCGGAGGGTGCACCGGGAACGGAGCGGTAGAACTTGAGCGACTTCTCCATCTCGGCGCCGCCCTGAGTCTTGTGGCCCATGATCTCCTTCCAGGCGCGGGAGTCGTGGAAGGCGAGCTCATCGGGGGCAATGCGCACGACCGGGCCGTACCGCCTGTGCAGGTCGAGCATGTCAAAGGGGAGCGTTCCGGTGAGCAGCTTGTAGCAGAACGGGATGCGGGATGTGCGCATCCATATCGGGCCAGGAAACTTTCGGAGCGGGTGGAGAAAGAGACAGTAGAATGCTTGAGCGAGCTGGTAGGCGACGTACTGCAGAAAGTTTGTTAGATTGCGGTGTTCGGTTGTTTAGTGTAGCCTCACGGAGCTGAAAAAATCAAGCTTTCAAGTGCCGGCCGGGGTAGAGCGGGAGACGGGGACTCACAACGCCTACTAACAGGCCTAGAGTGTTGACGAAGCCAAGTTCTAATAATTTCATGTTTGCGAAAAGAATCGGTTCTCTGTGAATACCAGGATGCGACAGAGATGGAGAGAGAGGAAATGGCGAAAGGTGCAGAGTGCAAGAATGAGTTGACAACCAGACCTCAAATATCAACATAAGGCAGGGCGTTCCATCGAGCTGGTTTTATTCTCGACTTCAGACTCACAAGTTCAGACGAGTGCGAGTTACGAGTACGATGATTAAGATGTCTAAGCCTTAAAGGCGGGGAGGGGTGTGTATCTTCCTCTGTGTTTCCCCTATGGCATCATGGTATGGCGGCGGACTTTAGGATACCATTTGAACTTGGTCTTGGACCGGTTTCTCTCAGGTCCCATGTTTTGCAGAGGAATGGCGTGTGACAAGCGACCCTCCATCTCCATTCCATGGCTGTCCCGCCCCCAGTATGCCATGCTTTGGATGCCTTCTCTTTCTTCTGTGGGAGAAACTTGAACCCCACCCATGGCGTTTCACTACAATTACCGACATGTCGAACAAATGGTGACCATCCTCGGCGTGGATCACATTAGTGTAGCAGTAGCAGTAGCTTAGCTGTCGCGGCCCGCAGCCGGTGATCAATGCTTTACTGCCTGCCTCCTCCAGGGCAAGGCAACAGTAGCCTGTAGCCTGTAAAGCAAGTCTTGCAACGCTGTCGTCTAAAGAAAAGGGATCGGTCTCGTGTTCGGTCTCGCACACTGGGACCCTTCCATCGTGGTCGTCGATCGTATGGCACCGTGGACGGGGTGCTCCGTGCCATGCGTGCATAGTGTAAAGGGGGTGATCAAAGAGGAACCGGGAACGCTGCAACGGTTCAGTTGCCATCAAATGTCTTGGGATGTGCCAAGTTGCATTTTGGGGGGGGGGGGGAGGGGGATTCGACGAATCAGAAAGGCATAATTACGATGCCGTGGCAGCTTTACTGCTTTTACGCGGGGATCTGGGCCGTTGAGTGGGTTGTTTTGGGGTCCGTCTTGGCTCAAGCTAGCCTCGAAGTTCGAACCCTTCTCTCCACCGAGTGCCCATCCAAGGATTCATTACTCGTGCTTTGTATGGTGTGTGTGTGTGTGTGTGTATGTGCGAGGGGGGGGGGGGCGGACAACCGTGACGAAAGACGAGACGCAGGCGGACTTGTCATTGGAGACCTGACGAGTTTGCTGATTCGAGAGCTGGCTGCAGATCAGTACGACGTCCCGTCAAGCTGGATGAACACCCAATCTCTGCGACGGGTTTTTGGATGACATCGACATCCCGAGACCGACCCCGAGATGGGCTTCCAAGAGATCGCCACTGGCAACTCGCAAGCGGTCGTGGCAGTGAATGAGACACGATGGCAATAACGCATTTTGCTGACTTGCTAAGACCGACGAAACACATGATGAGCGGAGTTTCTCTCTGCAATGGCTGAAGACACAGATTTGATGATGACCATTGATATCGCTTGGGGTACGAAGAAATCATGGTTTTCGCGGGAGCCGGGAGTGATGAGTTATTGCGACTCACAAGCTTTCGGGAATTTAGCAACGCCTCGGAGAACATAACGAATCCGGGATTGAATGCTGCTCGGCTTTGCCCCTTGCAGTTACCTCATAGTTTGTTAGCTGTGCCAAGTCGGAGGATTGACGAGCGCCGACTTTACGCGGAAAACTCTTGCAAATAAACTCTCCAGCTCCCCCACTCCTTATCGATAAGGAATGCTGGCTGTGTTGATATGAACCTGTTCTGATTGCGTAGCGACGCCTCTCTTCTCCTCTCGACCATCTCCTTTCCCTCCGTGTTGTCACGTCTTCGATTTCAAGTCTTTCGTTGCTCTCCATGTCTTCAAGCGAAACCTCTGGTTCTACTCCGGTTCTACTCCGGTTCCAACTCCAGGCTCGTCTTTCCCCACTCCAGACTCATGTGAGCATGTGCGTTGAGTGAACATCGAAGCTCCCGCCACGCATTCACGAATAGACTTCACGTCACAGTCTCATGATGGTGTCAACTCCTCATTTTGCCCACGGGGGTTGATAAAGGCAACATCCATTTCCGGAACCATTCATGTTTACGTTCATCTCTACACACATCGACCCTGTTTTCCAGAAGACTCGAGTGAAGCTTCTGCCCTTGATTGGCACATCCGTCCGAAGCTTCGCCCCAGCCACGCACGCTGTCTTGACAGCCATGAAACTGCGCCGTCAGTATATTTACGTGCAACACCCCTTTCAACACTTTCGCATCGCAGATTGCAGAATCTAAGCCCTCTGTTGTGTGCCCACAAAATATGTCAAATATCTAATTCAAACCAACGAACATGCCCTTCCGCATCAAGATATTCTGCCCGAACAATTGGTCAATAGACTTCTGCTGGGGTCCCGTAAAGTTTCGGCTGGCTTGCAAGCAAACCGCAGGGTCATGACCAGGACTTCCCCACGATCGGTCCGATCCGAAGACCTTCGGCCGACAGGCCTCTTTGCAGCAGATACAGGCCTTTGGTGGTGAGGGAAAGTCTTGGCGCAATTCATGATGGGCAGAAAACTTTGTCTCAAGGGCTGAAAATGAGGCTTGGAATTGAAAAGCCGCCATCAAGTGTTTGGCATTATTGAAGCATTTATAGCTGTCAAATCCCCATCCGACATAGACATCGTGCAGACCAGGATCTGCTGCATGTCTGACCGCAAAATCCTCCCCCACGATGGATCGAGTGGCTTGCCGGTTACTTAGCGGCCATTGACGCCAGTCCGTGAGACAGCATCTGAGCTGCAACATAAGACGACGCCTCCTTCTCATACTTACAGCAGGTTATGTTCCCGAAAGCAGGTGATAAAGTTCGGCGTTTGTCCCCTCGGAAACATGCGATTACCCCTCCTTTCCTCGACCTGTGTCCAGCTTCACCTCGTCTTTTGGTAGTGGCTGGTAAGCCTGTGAGAAGATTCGAGATCAACAATCTGCGACTCACTGTATCGATTGAGAGCGCCTGTTCTCGTACGTTTGGTGCATCATGCTGAATATTGCAATCATCGGCGGTGGAATTGCCGGGCTCACAGCAGCCATCGCGCTCCGGCGAGCAGGCCATTCTGTGACGTTATACGAAAAGACGTCGCTGAACAACGAGATCGGGGCCGCGATTAACGTGCAGACGAACGCGTCACGTCCGCTAGTGGCTCTGGGAATGGACCCGGTGAGAGCGAGGTTCGTGATGGCCACGGGCAGCCGGCTCATGCGAGGGGATACCTTGGAGGTGACCCACGAACTCAACCTTGGGGCCATTGCAAATAGTTACGGATCGCCATGGTACTTTGCGCACCGGGTCGATTTGCATGAGGAATTGAAGCGGATGGTGATTGCGGCTGACGGCGGCCCGCCTGTGACGTTCAAGTTGCGGAGTGAAGTGACGAATTATGTGAGCTTGCGTGGCTTAGGAATCTAACTCTGTGCAGAGACATCAACATGCTAATGATGTACTCAGAATCCGGATGCTGCCAGCTTTACTCTTCGGAACGGAACAGTCGTTTCTGCGGACCTCGTGGTAGTTGCGGATGGCATCCACAGCGGCGGCGTCGAGGCGATTCTTGGGTCGCCCAATCCCGCGTTCCCGGCGGCGCAAGACAACTTTTGCTACCGGTTCTTGATACCCATGGATGCTGTACTTTTGGATCCGATCACTTCCAAGCTGTTCAAAGATGGAGCTGGTGGCTTTAGGATATTTCTCGGGAACGGCAAGAGAATTGTCACGTATCCGTGTAGAGAGTATGTTGATCAGTCGGAATGGCACACTGAATCTTCGACTGACGCGCTATAGCGGTGAGGTGCTCAACTGTATTGCCATTTTCCACAACGAATTCGACCCTTCGAGCAGAGAAGGTAAGTATGCCTGCCTTCGTAATCGCGCAGGGGGCACGCAGATCAGAGACAACCACGGGCATCTGAGCTTCGGTTTGCTGGCCTGAAAGAACGAGCAGCTGACTGTGATCCTCAGACTGGCACAACTCAGTTGACCAATCTCACTTACTGAGGCTTTTTGAAAATTTTCATCCCAGTGTACTGGCTCTTCTTCGGTAGGTGAGGCCTTGAGGAAACGCAAAGCCTGGCGGCTGATGAGTGACAGAAAGGCAAACGAAGTGAAGCAGTGGCCTCTGCTTTACAGAGCCCCCATTCCAAGATGGAGCAAGGGTTGCACGGTTCTGATTGGGGATGCAGCTCACCCAATGCTTCCACGTAAGGCTTCTGCCCAAGTTACCATGCCTTGACTCACATTCTATCTGCAGACCAGGGGCAAGGAGGTGCGCAAGGCATCGAGGACGGCGTTGCCCTCGGGGTGTGTTTATCCAACACAACCTCGAAAGACGATGTAATCGAGAGATTGAAAGTATTCGAAAGAATTCGCAGGAATAGGGCTAGCGTGGTGACCATCTTCAGCAACGCTGGGCAAGATGAGGCGGAGAAGATCAAGGAAGCTGCGTCAGAGTTCATACCTGTCGAGCGTATTCCCAGTGAGTGACAGTCTGTTCCCTTAATGGAATCGATTCAAGAACAAATCTCATCGAATTGGGCAGCAAATCCAAGTGGCTTCTATGATTTTCACTTCAGTTACGACATCATGGAAGACTCGGCTGAACACATGCGGAAGCTCGATCCCAACTTTAGGCTTCCCGAAGCGTTTCTGCGGAACGAGCCCGGGAATAGAGCTTTTCTATAAGAGGAAGACGAGCTCCGACTGGATTACTTCGAGGTGAGGTACGGTGAAAATACGGGGCCTGTCGTGTAATTGGAGCTGTCGACGACTTCATTCGCGGGGTACTTCTTTCCACTTACTTGAATGAAGTACTTCGGTCAAGGTACCTTGGAATGCTGAAAGATGAAGGAAGGCACGAGGCTCTCAATTGAAGGGAAGAAGTAGCAAGGATCACTTTATGGTATTCAAGTAAGGAGGCCTTCGCTCACTCCTGACATTTGTGGTGTCGGTGGTGTTGAGTGCAGCCCTAGATTCTACCTCCTCTCCTTCTCCTCTTCCTATCGTCACATCGACGAACGACAAACATTCTTATTCCGGTATCTCTTTGAATCTAGCTCTTCCAAGGGTTGACTGTCTTTTCCAAGCGAATTATCGCAGCCGACTGCTCCCAAGCTATCACTAAAAACCTCAACGACAACGGCAGGCTTCTCGAGCTCTTCCTGTGATTCGGACCACGTAGGAGCGCGGCCGACCTGGCGATCTATCACCGTCATGGACCGCAGCCTCGACCAATGGGACGAGATCTCACCTTTGCTCCGATTTCTTGTTGTTCTCGGAGTGGTCGAGACACTTGCCACCATCTTCTATTTCTGCGTCACACTGTGGTGCCTGGCCAGACACAAGAGGACGATCGATGATGAGAACGTAGGTAGCGTTGCTACGCCCATCTCTCCCATCCCATCACTAACCCATTCACCTCGACTTTCAACAGCCTCCTATCAGAACCAAAAAATTACGCGATGTCCAGGGCGGCAAGCATCGAGCATGGGAAGAGGAGCCAACCCGGCTTGCTCGCGTCGTTTTGGTTCCTGAGCGAAGAGGAGGACCCAAGCAAGATACCTGGGAGTTGTCCAATCCTTCACCTGCACCCTCTCTCGCACCAGCTGCCCCGTTGTATGTCATTTCAGAGGCAAGCCTCAGCAGATACTCGTTGACATTGCTGGCCTTGAAATCACACGATCGGTCTTGACTGTAGGCGGTATAACTGCGGTAGGAATACATGGGATGGGTGGGACCTTGATTAAGGACAGACTTCCTTCACTGAATCGGCAAGCCTACTAATACACTCTACTAGTATACACTCTTCACCCACTTAACTCCTGTCTTCCGCCCGTGACTGTTGCTCCGGTGCGTAGACGCGTTGAACTGCGCGGTCATGGGCCGCCTTGAGCAGCACCAGCTCGCGTTCGTGTCTCCTCCGCATCTCCCTGGCATCGGGAGGCAGCATCGTCTTGTACAGAGTTTCTCTCGCCTTGACCTCGGTACAGCGTGTCAATACGGCCACGCTTGCCAGCCATGCGGCAAGGAACGCAAGGAAGGCTTTCCGTCCCACGAGCCAAGAGTCCAGGCCGAAGAAGTGCACCACCAGTAGCATCACACTTAGCAGACATTGAGCGATGGGCAGTGCCAAATCCACGATGGGCCACACATTTGGACCAAAGGCGCCTCTATCCTTCATCTTTTCTTCGTAATTCATCAGTTCGTTTTTCCACTTAAACTCGCATTCGTGTGCTGACTTCATGTCCACAAGGCGCAGGTGATATGCCTCCGTGGCGTACACAATACGTGAATGCCGCTCTTCGTACGAGTTCTTGGGTTCGGCCCATTCGGAGAAGAGGGCATCAAGCTCGGCTTTGGCCTCACGGACCAGTCGCGCCCGCCGGCGGGGCGTATCGGGAGCCTCGACTCTGGTCCCCAGCGGCACTACTTGAGTTGGTGTTGATGATCTTGTCCTCGTTGATAACAGAGGAGGCAAGGTTTTGTCGGTTTCGATGGTTGGTGATTTCCCTAAAAAGTCTCCTGATTCGTACTCGGTTGGATCCGAATCAAAGGGGTGTGCTTCATAATCGTCGTCGGATCCATAATCGCTTTCACCGTCACTCTCACTTTCTCCAGCCTCCTCCTCATCTTCGCCCTCATACTCAACATCGTCGTCCTCGCTTTCTTCGGCCATGAAGCTAGAGCCGTACCGGTAAGGGTCCTGGTCAGCGCTCTCACGCGCGAACATTTCGCAGATTTGGACCAGCGCATCGACGCATCTCCTGTCCAGCTGCGAACTATCCTGCACCTCCTGCTCCCTCTCACAGACCCTGCCGATTGTGTCGATGCACTTATTCACAACGGCGAACTTTGCATTCTGTTCAGTTACGCTTGCCGAGGCTGATGCAATCGCTGCCCCAGCCTGTTGCTTGGCCAAGTCTCTCAGCTCTTCCAGCGTCTCCTCGACCTTGTCCAGCCGCTCCACCACGTTGGAAAAGCTCCCCACCGATTCTGTGGGACTATCATACTCATCCTGTTCTGGGACAGCCTGCGGGAATGACGCGAAGCACATTTGAGGCGCGTACATTGGCGAAGGCGCTGTCTGCGGTCTCTTTGGCAAATTTATCGTGCCTGGCGAAGTTGCGCTCGCCGGCGACATTGGTGATATGGTGGTGCTCACTGACGACCGCCTTTGAATCTCTCTCCACCCTTCCACCATGCGCTTCATAAACGCTGCCTGGTCGGGCATGATCTTGACGACCTCATCGGCGGCACTGGAGATGAAGTCGTCCGGGAGGAGAACGGGACAGGTTGATGAGCGGCGGAATGGCGGCATGGAGGCCGCCGTGGATGGGCGGCTGCTGTGAGTCGCCGTAGACGGACGGCTGTTGTAAGTGGCCGTGGACGGACGGCTGTCATTCTTCTTTTCGGTGCGTTCTGACTCGGAGGTTGTGTCCTGGAGCTGCTGGTGCTTGTAGGCGTCGACCTCGTCAAAGTAGCCATCTAGGCTTTGTGAAGACTTGCGCGATGAAGCAGGCGTCTCGGTACCGTCGTAGTTTTCATCTTCCTCATCTCCCTCTTCCTCATCGTCGTACTCATCGCTAGAGAACATGAAGTCACCGAGTTCCTCAGAGAGTCGTCTTGGTGCGAGGGCGGGGGACCCTTGTCGGGGACTAGCCGGGAGATGCCTCATTGTGCTGTTGTGAGTTACTGCGTTGGTGTATATGTACCGTAGTTGATGTGTTGTTCAAAGTCTCGAGTGAGGCTCCGTCTCTGAGAATTATGGAGGAGTGAGTCGTTGCTTTGCGTGGATGATGGCAGTTTGAAGTGTTGGTCTTGGTCCGCTGGTTGGGATGGAGGGATTGCGGATTGCGGCAAGGGGGGAGTCGGAGGGATGCGAAAGGGGAGGGGACCCTTGGCGCGGGGTGAGTGGGCTGGGGGGCTGGCGGTGAGTGAAAAAGGCCGCACGATGGTCAGTTTGCGTTGCTGCTGAAGGCTGCAATTTGACTTCCTCCGAAGACAAAGTAGAAAGAGAGCACGATCCTATTTTGAGATCTCGGGGCTATTTTGTTACGACGAAAGGGAAAAGATAGGATGGAGCGATCTATAGAGCTAGGATGAAACCTTTCGGAGACGGGTTGTCGTGGTTTGTGGTTGTGGTTGGGTGCAGTTGAAAGAACAGCTGCAGCCAGAAAAGACTAAAAAAGACTGAGAGACAAAAAGGAGAAGAAAAAAGTAGTCTGTAAGGTATGAATGTATGTATGCAAGTCTTGCAGATGCGCGTAGAAGAAGGTGTTTCCGATCGGCGGTCAAGATAGACTTTGGTCAAGACCTAGGCACGGACGGGACGTCCATCCACGAATATGAGTCTATGACTACTGTAAGGGTATGGTTGATGAGTGAATGTATGAGTAAGTGAGTGGACGAGTACAGTACACCAAAGAGAGGCAAAAGAGTGGAATCTAACGCGAAATAGAGACGAATGATACAATGAGAAGAGAGAATGAGGGATAGCGCGCCTCTCGAAAGGGATATCACGCGAACGAAAGGTAAAAGGGAAGGTGGTGAAGATGGGCGGGTTGGAGAGAGAGAATCAGAAGGGCAGGCAAATCGGCCGTTGGCACATGCGAGTTTGTGTGTGCGTGGATAGTGGATTCTGCAGCACTTTAGCTGGGGAGGGGGTGGTTCGTTCCAATTCGTAGCTTTTGTGGTTCACAGTCGTTCTGGATCTGAAGGACTGACAGGGGTTGATGCGTCACTCTAACCAAGATGGAGAACAGAGGTGAGCGAGAGAGTCTGAGAGAGAGTCTGGGCTGGCCAAGGCAGTTCTGTCGGTCTACCCGTCCATCGGTCGAGACCCCTCCAGCCGATCACCAGATGTACCGGAAATTATCAGGGTGAGAGAGAGTAAGAGTCAAAGTTCGCAATAGTCGTCAAGTGTCGTTACCCATTGATGTATGTATAAATGCAATATCGTATTGTACAGACTTTGTCCATCCCATCCATCCCTCGAAAACCCTGCCTGGTAGAAAAACCCAAAACCCAAAAACCAAACGACGGCCAGCGATGGCCAGTGGTATCATAATCTTCGTCAATGCAATTTTTGGCCATCTTCTTCTTCACTCTGCCCTTTTGTCGGTGTCCCTCCCTCGTCTCCTCCCTCGTCTCCTCGAAAAAAATATGTCTCCATAAAGCGCGGCCCAAAGCCCACCTGCATGATGCCACGTCAAATATCCCCTGTAGCTGCAGCAAAAGGGCAGCAAAAAATAGGCATAAGAAGAGGAAAAAAAAAAAAAGGTCCCCCATAGACATGGACCCCTCCTCGGCTAGGAACAACGCCGCAGCCGCCGTGCTATCCCCACACACCGCTTTCTGCTCCCCAAACCCAGCCACCTCACCGGACGAACCATCCGCGGCGGGGATCGCTTGTGCGCTTGCATCAGGGCCTGGCAGAGAGAGACAGGCAAGGTGCAGTGCACACGCGATACTCTGAAGTCTGTACCCTATCCGTACGTCGGGTTTCAACTGTAACCGTACTGGATCCCAAGTCCGACCTTTGGGTTGTCGCCGCCAAGGGGACCGCCCACCCGCATCTTCTTGGTCGGGCTCACCATGTCCGATCGTGCCTCTTGACCGTGACCGTTAGACACACCCCCGTTGAACTTGCGCTTGTCTGCACCACTCTTAGTAATGCCAGAGAAGAGCTTCGCCTGGAGTCTGGCACTCTTCTCGGCCGGTGCAGGCGTGCCGTCGCGAGAGCCAACAGAGCTGGCAACTTCGAAGCTCTCACGGGGATCGCGGCGCAACATCTCAGACGCTGCCTGGCTGGCCTGGCTCTCGTAGACTTCCTCTTCGTCCTCGTTGCCACTGCCGCCGGGGAGTGGACGGCGAGCGCCACGGGAGGTGCGAGATGCTTGCGAAAGGAACGAGGCCGACTTGGCGACGGACTCGAGAGCCTGGCGGGCGAGCTCTTCGTTGTCATCGGCCGAAATTGTGCTCTCCCGGCTCTTGCGAGCGCGCTCTTGAACCCTCTCCTGGATGGCCAGCGGCGGCGTGCCAGGAACCATCTGTGAGTTGCTGTACCGGTACCGAGGCTCGCTCTGGGGGACCAGGTTCACCGAGGGCAAGAGGCCAGATTGCTGCTCATGGCGCTGGGTGCGGGAGAGCGGCGTCGTTGGCAGGGCAGACAGAGACTGTGCGTTTCGGGTGTGCTTGGGAGGCATGCGGGGCGCGGGTCTGACCGCCGTCGTGGGCGTCGAGGGCGCGCTGTTGTTGTCCTGGCTGAGGGCCTGCAGCAGAGCCGCAATGGGCTCGGGGCCGTGGTCGCGGTCGACCACTCTGGCCTCGCGGTTGGCCGACCGAGGCGTCTGCTGCTTGGGGGTAGCTCGGTGAGGCTGCTGGGGCGTTGAGACGGCGGCCTGCTTGGGCGTCATGGCACCGTGAAAGATTCCTCCTGGGCTGCACAGCATGTGAAAGTGTTCCCGATTCTCCCGGATGCGGTTCAAAAGCATGTCGCGCTCCTCTGTGAGGCCGATGATTTCCTCCTCCTTGTGTGAAATAACCTTCTTTGCCATCTTGACTCGTCGCACGAGGCCCTCATTCTCGTCCATGGCCTCTTCATACCACATCTTCATCTGGAGATACTTCATTTGCGCCGACTCTGATGCGGCGCTGAGTTCGCGGACGGCATGACGAGAGTACTCTGCTGTTCTGAGGGCCTCGATCTCTCGCCGGGTCATCTCGTGCTCCACCGCAGCTCTCTTGGCATCCTCGTCCGCCTGAAGACTCAGCAGGTTGTACTGGAGCTTATGGTGCGCGGCCTCCATCTTCAACTTGGCGTGCTCTGCGATGCTCGCCTGCATCATGGCTCGAAGTTCGTCTGCGGTGGCTTCGACGACCTGCTGAGGGGCGGGTGGGATGTATTCGGTCCCAAGACCACCATCTCGCCGTACAGTCGCGTTGTGGCCTGTGGCGGGCGGGGAGAAGAGAGCGGAGCGCTGGGAAGTGCCGTATGCGGTTTGTAGGGCGCCGTTGCTGGTGTGCGCGAGCAATTGTGATGAGGGGGGCGGCGTCAAGGAGGAGGGAATGACGGCGGAGGAGCTCAGACGGTCGTCGTTGACTTCGGTCTTGAATGATTGGTTGGAATCGGCGGGCGATGCGGGCACTTCTGTAGAGGGGAGTGTCACTTGTGATGAGTTCGATGCGAGGACATCATTGTCTTGAGGTGTCGTGGGAACGGTTGTGGTGTCGTTGGGCTGCTGGGCCGCAGCTTCGGGGGCGGTGGCCATGATGGAAGTGGGAGCGATAGTTCGGAGCAAGCGAGCTATGCCTGAAATGCGATCGGAGAGGAGAGGTGGGAATGTTGGTAATTGATTGAAGCAATAAGAACGCGGGGTAGCTGTGTATGCGACTCTGATAGAGAAGTGCCGGTCTGGAAGCTTGAGGTGGGTGAGTGCGGAGAGGAGGCGTCGCGTTGAGAACCACGTCAGCGATGGAAACAAGGCAGCGTGGATTGGTTCAGAGAAGCCGGCGATGACAGAAGCGACACAGAGACGTGGAGCGTTGGGTTCGATGCAGAGATATAGAGACGAGGTGGCGGGGAGAGGAAAGGGGAAAAGAGAGCAAAGGCTCCTTGGTGGTGTTGTCTCTGTGCTCAACCGAACGCTCTTTGTCTGGCGCACGGGTTGACTATGGACGGGTGGTAGCGTGTGTGTGTGTGTGTGTGTGTGTGTGTGTGTGTGTGTGTGTGTGTGTGTGTGTGTGTGTGTGTGTGTGTGTGTGTGTGTGTGTGGTGTGGATGTGGTGGTGTATTGGCGATGGTTGGTGGGCGGTTGCTGTGGGAGCAGATGGAAACGGAACGGCGCACTAACACTACCAGAGCAGAGCACGAGCCAGCGGAACACCAAAAAAAGAAGACAATCAGCGGATGGCCGGGGCTGGGGAGGAGGTGGAAGTGGACGGGGAAGCTGGGCCGCGAAGGGAAAAACCAAGGAAAAAAGAAAGGCTGGCGGTGGGCGGCTGAGTCGACGCTAAGCCCAGACGAGAACCGAGGTGGGCTCGGTGAAGGTTCAGGTGAGGAAGGTGAAAAGCATGGGCTAGGCCATGGTGAGTGGTGAGTAGTTTGATTGGTTCCTTCACCGAGAGGCTAATCACCGCGTCTTTGTGCTCCCAGGACTGCCCCTTTTCTGCTAATTCATTTTCACAAAAGCCACAAGAGGCACCAGAGGCTGGGAACGGAAGCCGATTGCTATAGCTTCTTCAACTCCAACCTCCAACATCCCTATAGAGTAAGGATAATACTGTTTTTGTTTTCTTGCGTTCCCTACTAGGTAAGTATCCATTGACTCGCGACTACATCAATTACGCCTTGAGGTAGCCCAGAATCACCTCCTTAAACTGCTCAAAGTTGTCCACAAACGGGACGTGACCCGCGTTCTTGATCAACTTGAGCTCAATCTTGTTGTCCTTGCCAGCCGCCCTGAACCCCTTCTCCACCTTGTCCCGCATCTCCTGCATCGCCTGGGGAAGGTTCGCGTCCTTTTCACCAACAATCAGTAACGCCTCGTCAACACCCGACCCAATCCTCTCAAACAGAGGCCGGATATCGAAGCTATCGCTCTGCAGCGCAAAGCAACACGTCTGGAATCCCTCCACGGTAGTCTGGTTCATGATGCCGCGTGCTCGAGCCGCCTCCTCAGGGTTGGCCTTGATCCATTCGGCGCCGAACCAGCGGTCCATCGTCTGGTCGACCTGGGCCTCCATGTTGCCGGCCTCGCCCGCCGCCTTGGCCCGCGGGCCGAACAAGTCCTCCACTCCGGCGTGCTTGGGCGACGAGCTGATGGTGTCGCAGATGGCCACCTTTTGAATGATGCCGGGGTACTTTGTCGCAAAGTAGAAGCTCGTAGCGGCACCCATGGACACGCCGATCCAGGCAAAGAGCTTCTCAATCTTGAGCGACTTGACCAGAGAGTGCACGTCGTCGGCTATCGTCTCGAACTCGGTGTCGAGCTTCTTTGGCGCGGACGACTTGCCGTGGCCCGGCTGATCAAAGCGCAGCGTACGGAAGCCGTTGGCGTGGAGAACCTTGACAACATGATCCCAGAGCGTAAAGGGCGCCGCAAGCGAGTTGGCTAACAAGACGACGGGCTTCGCGTCCGGGCCCGAGAGGTCGTATGAGAGGACGCGGCCGTCGGGCAGGTTGAGTTGCTGTGCAGATGCCATTGTGAATCCCTCTTGTAGTGAGTGCTTAGGTCGTGATGTGAGATGGTGTCTGGTGATGCTCGATAGTGTGTCACGCAACGCACACACGTCAAGTATGGGTATCGTAAGAGGCAATGGATCAGAATATAAAGCTACGGAATGAAGTGACGGACCTTCCGTCACTACTATCAGAGAGACGACAACCTCAACCTTTTGTGACTTTCACGTCATCGTCATGTGACGGCCGCGGGGTCGGATCGGAGGGGGAGCTTTCGGGAACTGGCAATGGTGGGGTTGCCTCCTGCCCGGCACCCGATGGTCTTAGGTGGGTTCCACACCATTCCACGTTCCAGGGTTATCTAATCAAGATACGTACCCTTCCCTCCAGGCACCCGGCACGGGCCACTCAAGCTCCAGCTCCAGCCTCCAGCTTCTTCTCCCACTCGCATCACACACAAACAGCAGCTCAACAACGCTCCAAAGCAAAAATTGAGTCGGGCAAATAGTAGAGAGAGAGAGAGCACCTGGTAATACTGGATGGAAAACAAAAGTGCAAAAGGAAAGGTGCGTCAAGGACAGGATTCGAACCTGCGCGACCGAAGCCACTGCCTAATCTGGAATCAAGGTTTGATAGCAGGGCAGCCCATTAACCACTCTGGCACCTTGACTAGTGACTGTTGTTGAGATTTCACCTACTCCAAAACCTTCATGACGGCCCGTGGCTGCGTCCTTTCCGCCCCGCCCATCGAGCCCGGTCGCCCTTCACAATCCCATCTCGAAGGTCGGAGGTAGGAGGCTCGAAATCTGTGTTCGTCCAAGGGTCAACCTCAGGTATCGTCGGCGACTGCTGGCAAGCTGTTCGACAAGACTTGCGAAAAGTTTATGAGTATCCTGTGAGTTGGGAGAAAAGAAAAGAAGAATCAAAGTCTGAAGCAAAATGTCACAGAGAAAATCTTGCAGAGCTAGCCACCTTACTCGGTCGCAATGACCACTTACTGCCCCTGGTTCGCTGCAACCTAAAGGTGTGGTGGCGGCAACAGTGCAGCGAATAACCGTGCTTGAAGGCGTCACTGTCATGGCCCAAATTAGGAGTTGACTTATTTGTCTACCAAATAAAAAGAACAAACGTTTCTTGGCTTGATTGATTCGTTCAGAATGTTTTCGCTTTCCGAAAAAGCCGCAGCAGGCTATGGAATTTCTTGAACCAGTAGTATCTTGCACGGACTGTGAGGAACGGCAGTGATTAATTAGAATTCGTTCAGATATGTTCATCAAATATGAAACATCAACTTAGGTAGCAATAGAAGATATGAATCTTTTTACAACAGCACGTGGAACTCTCTCAGCGCTGACACAGTGAAGCCAGTAGACAGCATTTTCAGAGCTTTGGTAAATTCCTGTCAGCGCATGCTCCTTATCATTCTCAGCTAAGAAATACTTACAAGTCTCAGAGCGGGTGGTTGCCAAAGTCGAGTTCCATTCAGCAACGCCCGACTCTTCTTCGGTCTTCCTTGCAATTGCTGGAATGCCATCCGGACATGCCTCCCATCGACTGGCTGCCTGAGACCCTCCGGTTCAGCAAACAACCCGCCCAAACCTATCTTCGAACTTCTCTCTTCCCCAGCCATCGCCGTCCTCTCCCCGAGACGGAGCGCCTCCTGCTTCTGGACTTTGAGTGCCTGCGCCGTCAAATTCTGCACCATTTCACTTGTCAGGAACCCCAGAATATCCATAACATCGTCATTGGGCTTGTTCTCTGCAATCACCCCAAGACCGCACCACTCTCGAAACCTCTTGGCTTTGCGGTAAGTCAGCGACGCGTGCCGATACTCTGACCACGTCGCGTACTCGGCAACAGTCATATCCCTCGTCCGCTCATCATTCCTCCTCAGCTTCTCCAGCGCGGCCTCGTTGCTGGTAATCTCCACCAGATCCTCCTGGCTCGCCTCGGTCACTTGTTCAGAGAGATAGGACGCCGCGTCCCACGGGAGCGTGACGGTAGGCAGCTTGGCCTTGCTGCCAGCGGGGGCGTCGTCTGTGGGGGCAACGACGTTTTCTTCGAGATCGGCTTCATCGACGAAGCCTTCTTTTTCGTCCGAATCTTTGACGGTTCTGCGGATGGCTTTCCAGGTGAGGAAGATGCGGAGGCGTTCGACGCGGGCTTTGTCGTGGCGGACTTGGAAGATCAGGTCGTTGTTGGAGAAGACGCGGGTGCCACGGCGGGCGGCGAGGTCGTTGGCGATTTTGAGCTGAATGCCAGTATTTAGTAGATGATATTATCGCGGGAAGAGAGATCCGAGGGGGAGAAGAGGCACGGGCGAATCACCATGTGAACGACTTGATCTCGGATGATTTCCTCAATGAGTTGGGTGGTCTGGACGGAGACGTCTTGTGTTTCTCCTGCAATGTACATCATCTGGTTTGTATTGTGCCACTGGTCAGAGATGGCTTTGCTTTGGGTACGAGCTATCAGGATACGAAAATTGAGTCGTAAAAGGGAGAGGAGCAGGTTGGCTGATTGAAATACACTGATGCCAACTCAAGGTTTTCCCCCAGGTGTGGTAGAACATGTCTGGGCATCACCATGATTTAAAAAGACTCACCTGTTGAATCTCCTGTTTGAACTTGGGCTCCATGGCATTGACAGGGGCCGGGTATCCTACTCAAGACGAGGCAAGTTGGGTGGGTGTAAAGCAAGACAATGGTCAGGCAACTTCCCTCTCGCCTAATTTTTCTTGGCATCTGCTGTTAGTGAATGAGTGAGCCTACCACCAAATTACTAACAGCCGAAAACTCTTCACCTCCCCTTGCCGGAGCCCGCATCCGCGATGGCCTCACAGCCGCCGTCGGGCACCGGACTGATGTCGGCCGACCAAGCCGACCCCGAACCAGGCTCCGGGACACCTCCGGAGCCGAACCCCACCTCAAGAGCTAAGCGACGCCGCGACGCCGAGGCACAGCCGACCCGGCCCAGCCTAACGGGAAGCCAGCTTGATGCCACCACCGACGCCCCTACCTCGGCCGAGGGGCCCGCAGCCTCTACCGCATCTGCTCCGAGCGGATCTGCCACAGGGTCCGTCTTGACAGCCCTTGCAGAAGAAGCTAGACAGTACGAGGCACGGAAAGACGTCTTTCTGACCATTGCACGGTCCGTCGACAGCGTTGTCGCCAGCTTTGACGGTTCTAGAAAGCAGATCGCGAAAGAAGCCACTGCCTATGTCATTCAAACCCTCAAGAGACTGATCAATCACGAGACAAGCCCAATAGCGGCCCGGAGTTGGGCGGCTGTCGTCGCACCGATGGCGGGCAACACCACTGCGGCGACCCGGAGCGGCCAGAGCTGCCAGAGCTCTGCCCGCCCGAAGGCCACACTCCCCGCCGAGGATCAGCCGCAGGCGCAGCCGAAGGAGGACCTCCGCATCTTTGCCCGCGTCCCGGAAGAAAGCTTAGCGGCCGCTCGGAAGATCGCACCGTTCGCCGTACGACAGATCGTCTGTAAGGCCGTTGGCCTGGGGCTAGCGGACCTTCCCCACGTCTACCATATCAGCACAGGTTACTCTCTGAAGCCGCGAAACAAGCAAATACAGGAAAGACTACTTACAAGTAAGGCAAAGCTGGCGGAATGCCTCGGCGCCCACCAAGTCGAGACGCCTATCAAGTGGCACACATACGTTGTGCCGCGATGCCCAACAAAACTACACAGCATTGGCGGGGACGTCCTGGACCCAGCCACACTCGTTGAAGATGAGGTCTTCGCACAGACAGGACAGAAGCCTGTCCTTGCTCGACCGTCCCGCCTTGGGCCCAACCCAGTCACGAACGAAATATCTTGGCTCATATCATTCACATCAGAGGTCACGCCCTTCAGGCTCTTCAACCAAAGCGGCAGATCTCTGCCCATCAAAAAACGAAGGACGCTCATCCGACATGACCCCGGCTGCCAGGGCTACCACGCCAACCGGTTCTGCGGACGACGACCGACTTGCAGCAACTGCGGAAGACCTTCCGACTCACACGAAACGGGACCTTGCATGGCCAGGCCCCAGTGTCCCAACTGCTGCGGCCCCTTCCAAGCCGGCCACACAGACTGCCCAGCGAGGCCCTCGGTCGTAAACGGCGTCGTCTCCCTTCCCGGTCGAAAGGAGCGGGCTCGGATCCGGAAGGCCGGCCAGAAAGCATCGGACACTCTGTACAAGGCTACTCGATCCGACAGTAGCCAGGAGGCGGCAGGCGTCCCTACCTCCACCAGCCAGAACCAGCAACCCGGCGCCAAGCGCGCGCGCACGAGAACGCCCTCCGCAAGCTCGATCGTTTGCCTCGGTGACGGAAGCACTGACAGCAGCAGCATGGATGAAGACGAGGCGGACGAAGGCGAAGGCGAAGACTCCCCCGACAACACCTCCATCGACCGTCCCGTGCTACCCATGCCAAGCAGGAGCCAACGGG